CTGTCACTTTTGGGGGGATTTAAGTATCCCCCCGGTATTTTTTCCGTGTTTTTAGATTTTTGTGCACACCTGGGGACTGCCCCAAGTGTGCACAAAAATCTCCTTCCTCCCCAGGTGCCCCCGATGTGCGGATTTAGGTAGCCGCACGCAGGGGGCGCGTTTCGCTATAAATATATAGATGGCTTTTCAGCAGTAGTATTATTTTTTAATGAGAAGCTGTTTGTCCCTGTAGTTACAATGCACCTGCTTTCTGCTAACAGTCTTAACCTGCAACAGAAGATGTATCTTTTGTGTTGTTGACTAGAATTGAGTTTCAGTTAACGGTGATGTTCTACTGTAAATGAATGGAATTTAAGTGCATTTTAACAGACAATGTTTCATTTATTAGTTGGTGCTGGAATGGAATCCGCCCCAAAGCCTCACTAAAGTTTGTGAAGACCTGGTTTCCAGTGCAGACAGTTTGAATGGACAAGTTAGCAAATTAAAGGAGGTTATTAAAAAGGTATATATGCACTAGAAAATCAAATTGGTAATGGTTGGGCAGTGCCTTAGTATGCCACCTTGGTATACTGTGATGTTAGCTGTATAGTTGACTCAATTCTAAGCACTTTGTACTGTTGACTCAATTCTAAGCACTTTGTACTGTTGAATAGGCCTTCAATATTTTCCAACATATATTTTATTAGCTGCAAGATGGACAGAATAATGATCCTTGCCGAATACAATCCCTGGAGAAAAAAGGCAGACGGAACAAAACTTTTTTAAAAATAGCAGCAGCAGTAACCTTGGTTGGATCTGGATGTGTCTTCCTCATCACCAAGATAACTTCAAGGAAGAGCTGAGTCTGAGTTGTATGTTTGGAAAAATGTGTCTTTTTCCAATATGTAAAACTACAAGTTGAATTTACAGTATTCAAAAGTCTTGCTGACTTGTTTTCCCAAAGTACTCTAATGTAAAAATACTGGGAATTAAACTCCATTTAGTGTAACATCTATTTCAGTTTTCCTTGGCATTTTGATAAAATATCTTCATGCATGTGCCCTTATTAATAAAGTTTCATATTTAATTTTATGGAAACTAAATCTTGGTTCTTCAACCCATGTGGAATCTCTTTTTAAGTAACTTCCAGCTGTTTGGGTAATAGTGTGTTGATATAAATATCGAAGCATACAAAAGTGAGTGAAGTAGCAACACAATAAAAGGCATATAAAACCCAGAAACAGACTGGTCCGTGTTACACCATGAACTAATGAGATAGTTCAGAGTTCATTCTACACTGTGATTCTTTTCTCTGCATTAAAACAAATCCCAGCCTGGTATAATCTGGGTCTGTAGGACAAACTAGATGTGATGGCATCAATGCGTCTGACCCATGGATGCTGCCACTATTTTAAAGTGATTTTTAAAAGTTGCAAGGACCAGTCCTCATCAGACTTGCAGTATGGGGGCTGAGTTGTTCTTGCCTCCCATACCCTTTCAAGTGCCAAAAAAACCCCCTCTTCATGGCTGTTTCACCACTTGAAAAGGCATGGGGTAGGGAAAACTAGAGCGAGTCAGCCCACTGTTTGGTGACTTTGATCAGCATCACTTTAAAATGGCAGTGGTGGCATCCACGGGTTGGACCCCTGGAATCTCTCATATCTTCCTTGGCCCCCCGAGTATAATGTTGATGGGGAGTGCGACCTTTACAGTCTCACATTCAGTTCAAAGTTGTGAATAGCATTGTCTTGGTGCAGCACCGCCGCTGTTAGATTGTTATCTAAAGACCTGATTTCTGTTTTTCCTAGTTTAAAATAAAAAAATATCAAAATCAGAGCCTTCCTGATATGTGGCTTAGGGCTGTGGTGCTAGTTATCAAGAGAAGTGTTGAACAAGGTTATAAAAATATTGACTATATAATTGGGTAAAAATATATAAATTAAAAACTGAGTGTTTTTAACTAGAGAATGGTTCTTGGGCAGCCAGTTCTACCTTGGTATCCTGCCCTGGTGTAAATTCCTACCCCAGTTGCACTTTTTCTAGTACAATGCAGAGAATGTGAATCTACATCTCTTCTCTCTTAGTAGCAATATCCACAGACTATAACTACTTTCTATTTTCCATCTGCATGTACACACTAAGGATGCCAGCCCTCAAGGTGGGACCTGGGGATTCCTTTGGAATTACAGCTCATCTCCAAACTACAGAGATCAATTCTCCTGAAGAAAATGGATGCTTTGGGGGGTGGACTTCACGGCATTGTATCCCACTGAGGTCCCTGTCCTCCCCAGGCTCCATCTCCTAATCAGGAGAGTATCTGCTTCATTAAAAAAAAACACCCCACAAATATAAAATTTAGTATCATGAATGCACCAGTTTCTATTTATTTCAGATACATAGACACCAGCCCAAGCCTAAGTGCCTGAGGAAGACAATCGTAGTGGTGTCCTCCTGTCGTGGGCTTGGATCCTGGAAGGCATCCCCCCCCCAGTAGAACAGGGCTTCCCCATACCCCACTCCAGATGGTGCTCCTGTTGCCCCTCAGGAACGGTGTTGAAGGGGGAAGCATGGGGTCTGCAGTGGGAGGGTGAATTGGCAGGAATAAAAACCTTATCTCTTTTTATTATTGAAATCTGTAGCCATTGTGACAATCAAATCATCATTGTCACAGTCACCTAAATAGTTGACAATTTGTTGCCTTCATGGTACCCCCAAAAGCAGGTAAATTACCACAAGTATATTTCTGGTCTGTAGTTAATCACAGGCATTAACAAGAGAGGCAGTTGAGCAGGAAGGGGGTATTAAACCTTTTTACTGCACCAATCTTCCCTCTGCTAACTACTCAGAGCCTTTTGAAAACTGCTGGAAATCACAGTGCCAGTGTTGTAGGTTTTAACTCAAGTAGACTGAAATGTGGATTACAAACAATTCTTTCACTTCTTACATTGCATTAAAGTACATTTAGAAGTAGCACAGTAGAACTAATGGGCTGCCATGAGTGAAGTTTTATGGGCTCACCAGGGCTTCTGAAGCTTCCTTTCATACAAGAACACTACACCCCTCCCCCCAGCCGCACTTGTTCCATACCCTCTGCTACAGCAGAAAAAGCCAAGCTGGAAGATAAAATTGTAGAAGGCCAGATGGATGGATGGAGGTTCTTTGGATATATGTGTGTGTGCGCGCACACACGCGCGCATGTGTGTAGGAGTCTTTGTCTAAAAAGTGTACTTAATGCCTCTTCTAAATGTCCCAAGTATTGGGTACAGATTGGATATGGTAGACCTATCCTGATGTAGTATTCAAGTCACCTTGCTCCTCCCATGCCCAGGTACGTTCAAAGAACTTAGTTCATGGTGGTGGAAAGTGTCGGAAAGTCACAGACACCCTGTGGTGCCCCCATGGGGTTTTCAAGGCAAGATACATACAGAGGTGGTTTGCCATTGCCTGCCTCTGCATAGCAACCCTGGACTTTCTTGGTGGTCTCCCATCTACGTTCTGACATCTGACGAGATCGGGCAAGCCTGGGCCATCTGAGCCAGGGCATTTAATCCATAGAGTGTCTGTTGGGAGATTTATTTATTTTTATAGAATTCATTTATGGGAATGTTTACAATTTAAGACCTTTTTAGCTTCATATGAAAGCTTTATATAGAATTTATTGATATAAAGGCATGTTCCATTAAGATCTTCTGTGTCGAGAGCTAATGTCGAGAGCTAAATGTTGGTAATTTCAAAATAAGAGAACATTGGTTAAATTAAACAGATTAAGATTAAAGGTATTGATTTAGTTGTAGAGCCTTTGCACCTAAATAACAGGACTAAGGTTCCCTGGCCTGCTTGTGAATTCACCACTCAATCAGTTCTGCAAAAGTCTGAGCATTGGTAACTTATTCAGGTTAGTTGCATAAATTGTATTAGAGGGTTCTATGAGGAAAGCATATTTAGGATTGCCGTTTAAACCAGTCCTGTGCTCACTCTCCCTTTAAGTACTCTTAGATCAGTACCAAATGCTGCTTAGTGCTGAAATTTGAAATACTTCCATCTGTCTCTGATTTAAGCACATGCTGTTGACACAAATCTTGCTTACATTACATTGGGGTTTTGCTATGAGGCATCTGTAAGGGTCAGGCTATTCCAGGTGTCCCCAGCCTTTTTGAGTCTGTGAGAACCCTGGGAATTCTGACAAAGGGTGTGGTCGGTACAACCACAAAACGTCAGGGAAGGGAGGTTATGCATAACCCCGATAGTAACTCTTCAGCACGTCAAGCAGAAGCTCCGTTTAACAGGATTCATTTTAATCTGCATAGCCAGTCAGAAGCTGTACTGGGCAAAAGCCCCACCTGACCCCTTCCACTTTCTAAACATACTTGACAAGTGCCAGGAAAGGTGTTGGCTAGAGCCCTAGTCTACATGGGTGGCATATTGGGGACCCCTGGGCTACTCCTTTGATTAGCCTAGCAGAAAACAAGCCTACTATGAACCTTACAATCCCAACAGCAGCTGTAAATGTTTTCATTTCTGTGAGAGCCCTCATGCCTTCCCTAGCTACTTGCCACACCAGATCCTATCTTCAGCTGAAGTCTTACTTATTGTGCGACTTTTGCACAAGTAGCACCATCTCTGGAGCTCTATCCGCAGCCATGCCCACCAAAGTAACTCTTGTCTTCCTGGAAAAATTGGCTGTTTGTATTCCAGCTGGCATTTGGATTGTGAAATAGATCGTTATTGCCAGGAGTTTCTTTACTGTTCTGTGAGTTGTAATTCATACTATTTGTATTTATGCTGTAAGCTGTGTCAGACTTTTTCAGGCCACATGTTCAGATACACTTAATAAAATAAGAACTGATTGAAAATAGGGAACAAGTGTATAAAATCCATTGGAAATCATGTTTAAAATACAGCATAAATGTTGATCCTTGTGCGTGCAAAAACAGATTCTAGAATCCTTTTTGGCAACCATAGGGTTAACCTGGTTAAACAGCATCCATGTGCCTGCAGAATTGGCACCCACTTGTGTTATGCCTTGTGTACAGCAGTCCCTGTCCACATGATCAGGTCATTAAAATATTACCATGTTGGTTCAAATAGCAGCCCCACTCATCCTTCCAGAATATTGTGGGTTGTTCACACCTCCATTGTATAGATGTGGAATTAAGGCCAGATGCCTGAAGCCATCAAGTTCTTACTGCAGGAAGGATTGGATTGGAATGTAGGGATCCTTGGTTCCAACCTACATTGCTCTGGACTTAGTGGCACATTCTACACTACCTGTGTCTTGGAGTTACAGGGCTGTTCTCAGAGAATACTTCATCCTTAAGTATGATTTCTTTGACAACATTTTGTATAAAAATACCATACGTTCCCGAAGCATCCTTAGCAATGTATATAAAGGTATGTGAATTAATATCCAGCAATTTTAGTTTTTTAGAAATACCATTAGCCTTTTTTCCCCATTTGCCTGCTTTAAGGGTATAATAGATAACTTCTATATTGCTAATATTTCCTAGGCATTACAACACTTAAATACAATACACCACCTTATTGGCATATATGACAGTAAAAATAAAACTTCATCAGGTAACGGTACACCTGCAAATTTTAAAACAAGTTAATTTTTAAAAAGGTTCCTTGCTGCCAAAATTTTGGACAAGAATTCAGCAATCTGTGCAGTAACTTCTGGTAACTTATCAGCTAGAAGGTACCTAATTGCATTGTCAGAGTTAATCCTAGACAGTAAGGGCTTAATCCAAAGTGATCGAAGTTGTGAGGGAAGGGGGCATCGTAATAGAATACGATCTAGAATTAGGTTCTCCAGATGAGCAATTACAAATCCCGTCGCATTTCGGGATACCTCTATATCTAC